AAGCACAATCAGAAGGCTGCTGGGTGGGAAGAGAACAGAAGGAATCAGCTGAATCTAGTGTTTAATGGAAAGAACTGAGGGAACCTGGTCCCTCCACTGCCCCCTCAGACAGCCCTGCGGGTGGGCCTGACTCCACAACTGCAGTCCGAGGCTCCAGGTCCACTTTTGGGTGATGTGAAGATGGACACTGTTTCTCACCTGTTCTATATGGAAAGGACAGACCCTCCTGCCTCCTGCTCACAGCTGTATTTTTCTTTAGATAGATTATGAGGGTCTTGGTCTTTATATGTCTCTGCTCTGCGCCATTATGTGTTGACCTTGACTCTTTTCTCTTGGGCAGCCATCTTTCTGAAACTTTTTTTTATCACACAATTTAATTTCTCAGGAGAGGGGAAATGTCCCTCTCTGGCCCCCAAGGAATGGCCACAAGTCTCACCGATGGACTAGGGCCAGGAAGACTGGAGAGTTCAGGGAAGGCTTTGTGAAGAAAGATGAACTTGAGCTGGCTTTTGACAGATTCATAGGACCTCAACAGGCAGAGTGAAGTAAGGGAATTTAAGACATGCAAAGACACATACAAAAAGTAGAGATGGGCATGGTGCATCTGGGGTATGGCACGGACGCAGTTTTGGCTGGGATGGAGGGCTGCTCTGCTTTGGCTAGAAAAGTAGATAGATAAATTAGGTTACATTGTAGAGTTGGGTCAAGCTGTCAGCTTGTTCATACACCCCTTTAATGTGCTAGCAGCTGCCTGGCAGGAAAGAAAGAAACCATGACATATTTAACAAAATGTGAGCAGAGCCAAACTCCAGGAAGGGGCTACTGATGCACAAATCTGGTTACAATATTTTAACTGAGCCTATTCAGACAATGCCTTACACTGGAGAAAATAGATGCTAAGTACACCTAACGCATGTACAAGATAACACTTTTATCTTTCTGTCGTGTCCTTTCTCTCCAGGTTGATCAATCACTCCTTAAGAGTGGCCATTTGACCTCTCATTTCACTAACAAGGAAATAAATCAGTGACAGAATGAAAGTGACCTTTGGTCTTCTGTGAACCACAGGGAAAGGAGATTTATAAAAGTTGTATTTTTTTCCAGAATGTGATAGTTTTTTTATGAGCCTCCATATTTTTAACTCTAGCATTTGCATCTTCTAAAACAAAAATTGTATAGGTCAAGCCTTTCGATTGTTTTTTAATCTCAGGTAGGGCCTTTGAAGGAAGGGAGGTAGGTGGCCTGCCCATCGAGTACTGTTTCAGTAAAGAAGAGACTGCTCCTTTATGGTCCTTGATGAACGAAGGCTCTGTGTCAAAGGAGGTTTCGCCCAACTTCCTTGGTCTCTGCACCTTGTGGAGTTGTGCCACCTCCTTTAGGGCTAGCCTCCTGGGCCTTCTTGCTTTGGGGGTGTTATGCATAAAGGGCTTGGGCCCCTGTTTCCTCTTGATGTTCTTATCTTCCATTTCATTGAAGTGCCGTTTCTTCATGCCCCTTGGCCTCTTGAGGACTCTGTCTACCGTGTGCAGCCTTTGCCTGACACCTGTTCTCTGGATCATTGCCACACGGTTTTCCCGGGACTGAGCAGTTTCCAATTTCTTTGCAAAGATTTGGTGTTTAAATTTGGTACCTAAAAAGCTGGGATATATAATATAAGTGCAGTGGTTTTCTCTTTCTTTTTAACCTCATCCTTTTTTTTTCTTCAATTTCGGCATCTAACAAATTTTCCAGAAAACGGAGTTTCCTCAGTTTACTTTTGTAAGCTACGTTGTTGGCTGCAAGATTAAGAAAGTAATTCCCTGTGTTGTTCTGCAGATAATCCAGGGCCTTATCACTATCTTGTGCATTTCAAAAAAGCAGCTTAATGAATGGTAATATTGTTGATTCTGTGTCCTGTAGATTTCCCTCCGAGAAGTACGGCAGTATGTAATTGAGTGCACTTATTACATCACTCTGATTAATTTCCAGCGGCTCATTCAGGACATCTGACAAACTGACAACACTTTTTTCTGAGGCTGCTTTCTCTGGTTCAATAGTTAGCTCAGTGATGGTGTTCTTCTTCCGAGCTCGAAGGGCCTTCACGAACGTTCCTTCTGCAGCCCCGAGAGCTGCTTCTTCACCTGCCCAGACAGAAGAGATTACATTTAATAATCAAAAGCTAATGGGTTAGCTTTCTGCCAATCCATACCACATATCCCAGTGGAATTAAATGGGCAGCAACAAATACTGAATACCATTTATACAGGAGAAAAATAAACCCAAACACATTTATGACTGGACCAACAATGTTCCACTATGATGTGTCCACCATGTCCACCCTACTTCTTTTGAAAAAGCGGCTGCCTACTCAGAACAGTCCACAGTGTGGAATACAGTAACTGTACCTAGGATTACTGCCCTGATGACGAAGCACTCAGCTGCTAACTAAAGTCAGTGGGTTGAACCACCAGCTGCTCCACTGGAGAAAGATGAGGCAGTCTAATCCCCTTCTACAAAGATTCACAACTTTGGAAACTCTGTGTGGGCATTTGACTCTGCCCTATAGGGTCACTGTGAGTTGAAATCAACTCAACAGCAATGGGTTACATGTAGGATTATTCCATTGGTCCCTGAAGGCCAATTGTTCAATACTTAATGAAAGCGTAAGGCTGGAAGACAAACATTCCCACACTCAGCTAGACCCATCTGCCATTTCTCCTTACATTTATTCACATACCACATACTGTCCTGTCTCAGATGCAGAGGTTGGCGTAGCTTCCTCTCTCCACCTCTTCTGTGTGTGCACAATCATGCTGTCATCACACATGACTCTTCTGAAAGACAGTCCTCTGAGGGGAGCAGGGCCACAGCTGCTAAATTGTGCCAACTCCCACTGATCACAGGTCCTCATCTGGACATGCCCTTCTCCATGCTCCTACCCAACTCCCTCTCGTGGTACCTGCTGCCATATATCCTAGCCCCATAACAGAAGGCTCTATACAGAATGTGTCTACACGCCCCCTGGTTCTTTTTTCTTAAAGCTGGCCTGAGACCTGAGATGTAAGTAGGTTAAGAAATTTTCTCCCCTTGGGCTCTGCTAAGACACTTAACAGAATTGTATTTTATTTTATGTTTCTTGAGAATATACACAGCAGAACATACCGACTTCTATATGATCAAGTCAGGGACACTGATTACAATCTTCAAGTTGTTCAACCATTCTCACCCTCCTTTTCCAAATGGTTCCTCCTCCATTAACATGAAGTCCCTGCCCTCTAAATTTCCTAGTGAAACTTTTGAGTTGCTGTTGCCAATTGGATCCCATATAGACAGTTCTTAAAGAGCACAATGCTCAAGGGAGACATCCTTTACTAGTTAACCTCAACTACTGTTTGGTTTAAAGATGACTCCGGGGTATCTTTTTGGTTTAAGGTTGAAAAATGATCTCAGGCAATAGTTTCAGGGGTTCATTCAGTCTCAGTGGCTCCACAAAGTCTGGAGTCTATGATAATTTGAAATTCTGTTATTCATTTTCCACCTTTTGATCAGGATTCTGCCTCAGAATCTTTGATAAAAAATGTTCAGTAATGGTAGGTGGGCACCATCCAGTATGTTAAGGGACTTTTAATTTGCCATGTTGCATTCCTACCCAGAATGTTCAATAAATCTCTAGGATAAGAGCAATTGCTGGATAAACATTACTTGCTTTCATTTTATTTCAAGTTCAATATTTCCGGCTTTACAATCACTGAAAGCTTCGGACTACAGCAAAGTCAAATACGCCATTGTGCAGTTGTTTCTTTTCCAGAAGAATGAAAGGTGCTTTTGGCGGTGGTAAGAGTCAAAGGAGGAAGAAAAGTCTGGGAAAGGAGAAGCATGGGCTTGTGGAGAGCTCAGAACTGGGGACAGGAGATCTGGGCACCAGGCTCTCGTGCTGAACAACTCTGCTCTTGTTTCCCTCGTCTGTGAAAGGAAATTAACAGGGACTGTTCTGTCCACCTCTGGGGTGAAGGGAAGTGCAGAAATGTTTTGAAAAACAAGTAATACTGTTTTAACATGAGTAGAAAGTGATATTCCTTATTGGTTGTTCCAAATCACTGTTAAAGATCCATATTCAGGCTTCCTGGGCATGAAGGTAGTCACATTTTGCAAATCATGAAATTAGTGCCAAAACAAAAAACAAACCCACAGCCATCAAGTTGATTCCAAGCCATAGAGACCCCATTGGGTTTCCAAGTCAGTAAATCTTCATGGAAGTAGATTGTCCCATCTTCCCTTCGTGGAGAAGCTGGTGGCCTTGAACCACATACCTTCTGGTTAGCAGGCAAATGGCTTGGGCACTATGCCACCAGAGCTGCTTAATATAAACAACAATAAACCTAATATATATAAAAAATATTTAAAAGCACCTGAATGTTTTGGGAACAGGAAA